ATGAGTTGACCATCGTCTGAGAATAAATACACTCCCCCTTGATGGGATCGTGATGCCAGTCTCTTTTCTTTCTGTACCTACGTCCGTGGCACTCGTGACCTCTGCCTCTTTGCCTCCCAGGCTAGACCTATCCACCCTTTCCTTGTTCAAAAGGAGTTGCCCTGCATCTCACTGTGCCATCAGGAGATATGCAAGGGTAGCCATGCCCCCGAATCCAAAAAATGATTACTTTCAGGTCAGAACCAAAAGGCAGAGCAGTTGGGTCAAAATTTACATGTCTTCAGAGGTGCTCCCTTCCAGCTTACCAGTCCCCTCTCTAGGTCTAGAGCCAGGAAAAGTTGTTCGTTTGCATTTATCAACTATAATTTATCTATTACAGTGGATTAGCTATGAGTGACACCAGAGTTAGTGTTTCATCAACCCAGAGTTTGCAAGGGGAGTTCGACTGGGTCTCACTGGATTTGGTCTTATTGCTGGGACCCAGCTGAGGCTCAGAGACTCAAGTGTCAAGAGACTCTCGGTATGAAAGCCATCTGTCTAGGTGGCTCCTGTGTGGTCCTGTGTGAAGAGAAGGGGACAGTGATTAGCTGGCTCCCCCTTGCAGGGGCCGAGGGGGTCCATGCCCGAGGAGAGGCTGTGCGCTGTGGAAGGCTTTTGACTTTAGGAGCGTGATGACAGTGTTAAGTAGAACCGCTGAGCTCTCCTAGCGCTCGCTGCCTTCTCCCACTCCATCTGTTTCTCAACTCTGACTCTGCCAGCAATCTATTCTTGCTTCCACTTTCCAGTAAGTTCCTAAAGGCACCGGTGGTATATACAAACCTCGCTCCTGGGCGGGGAGGCCGCCCAGCCAGGAATCAGCACACTGGAGCCAACAGCCATGATTAACATGCTGGCCCTGAAACACTAGACGCTGGGAAAGCAAGACGGGGGGTGTTTCAGTGACTCATGCTTTCTCCACGCATCCTGTTAAAACCTCAGCTCCTCTGAGAAGCTTTCCCTGCTCTGATCAGACTTATCCCAGCACCTATCACCTGTCTGTTTATAACCCTCCCCCATGCCCTTGCACCTGCCGGGGACCTGGGACGGTTGGTCCACACTGTGGATTAGTCAGTGTTCGTTTCCACTTTGGCCAGGCACTCCTGTGCAGTCTGGGCCATCTGCCTCTGTGACCAGGCCGCGAGCACCCGACAGGGGCTGTCACGCTTTACTGTTACTTCAAGCAAAATTTAATTACGAACAAATACATTTCACAGTATGGATCCAAAGCTTCTGATAATGCGGGCTTCTACATCTGAGAGGTCTTTATCCTCTTACTTTCTGTTCATTCTTTCCACAAACATTTATTGGGCTCATATTATGGGCCAGGCACCATGATTGTGGGGTTAGAGAGTTGAACAAGACCTGGATCATCTGCCTCAGGGAATTCCTGGTCTGGTGGGAAATCCAGATATAGCAAATTAAACTAGGGTATTATTTCATGCAATGTTAGAATGATTCCCAGTGTATTATCAGTGAAACACCAAAGCAGGATAGCTAACAGAGCCAGTAAGATCACAGAAGGCAGCCTGGAGGAAGTGATCACTCAGCTAAGTCTTACAGGAAAGGTTCAGGTAAACCCAGTGTGTGTCTGGGGAGTGAAGGTGAGCTCCAGGCAGAGGTCCTAACAGGAGTAAAGGTACAGACAGTAGGAACAGCAATGCTGTGTGCTGGGAACTGTGAACAGTTACTAGAGATTTTGCTTTTTGGAAAGATCACTCAGGCCAACCCAGTGGAGGGTAGAGTTGAGTTATACAGCTACGAGCAGGGCATCATTTCCAAGGCTACTGAAATAGTCCAAGCAAGAGATGGTGGGAGCCTGAACTTGAACCAGGGAAGTGGTCATAGGGATAGAGAGAGAAAGGTCAAAAATTGAAAAGTATGTAGGAGGTAAAACTGGCAGGACTTGGTACCAGCCAGTGCAGGAAGGAGAGGCAGGAGACCAAATTCAGGGAAATGAGGAGGAAATGTGCCTTAGAGCAAGCAAAGACATTGAGGAGGTTGCAAGAGAGCAATGTCTTTATAAAAAGCCAAGAGGGGAGTGTGGTTGGCAATGCCAAGTGCTGCAAGAGGTCACTTAAGATGAGGACTGGAAATTTCCCAATAGGTTAGAAACGTAATGTTTGTTGGTGACCTCAGTGTGGGTGGTTTTAACGGCACAAGACAAAATTACATGGAGTGATGAGTGAATAGGAAAAATAAAAGTGAATTCAGATAGAACCATTTTCTTCTTCAGATACCTTGGGCCTAAAAGCTTTTCAAGCATCCAAAATTATGTCTGAGGTCTGAAAAAATGTATTAGCTTCAAAATGCAAAAAAAGAAACTGCAAAATTAAATTAAGACATGTTTAATTAAATATCTCCAAAATGTAACATTGTTTCAACTTCATTAATTTTTAAATTTAATATTCATAAAAACTTCATTACATTCAGAAACAATTTTTTGGTTAGATTTTTCTCCTTTTGCAAACATTCCCTTGTATGCACAACGATTGCTGAGAAATCACAGCCAATTATAAATTAACTGTTGCTTGCTACTCAGTCACATCACAAGCAAAATTTTAAAAATGCACTTAACATAAGATGTGGGTGCATTTTCTTGTACTTGCTTTTATGTGAGCTGGGGCCTCCAAATGTATGCGTTTTAAGGGCTTTAAAATGTCTTAAAATAGTTCTGATATAGACAACTGTTTCAAAAAGCTTGGCCAGGGAAGTAAGGAAAGAGAAGGGGAGTTCACTAGACGGAATGGAGAGGGAAGGAGGGCTTCTTATTTTTCTTTAAGAAAGGGGAGCATGTGAGTACATGTCGGGAGGGTCAGGGTGATGCTGAGAGAGGCAGGAGAAGCCGCTAGAGTCCAGATGCCAGAATTGGCCCCGCAGAGAGGACAAAACAACCCCTCTGCAGAAACAAGAGGGGGGGCGTTGAGGCCTTTCAGGGGAATCCTGATCTTTTATTCCTATATCAGGCAGAAATATCCCAAAGAGATCAGAGAGTTTTATAGTACTTAGCAGTCACTTGGGGACTCCATTTACCTGGACAGGTGGGCATCCTTGGTCACTTCCCCTTCACCGAGGCCCTCCCGCCAGTCTTCTCCGCAGGGGCCAGCTGGAGAACCTAGTTCATCTATGATGCTCAGATGCACATCCCAATACCCATAAACCTGCTACTGGAGCAGCTCCAGAACACCTCAGCCAGATCCTCTGTACTGCCCCTTTCTCAAGTGTCCTTTGTGTCTGCCCCATTCACATGGTTCATGATGTTCCCATGGTCAAAAGCACCTCCCTCCCGGAAAGCAGAAATTTTCTCCAAACCCTGTATGCCTTCCCTTAAGATTGGGTTTTTAAATATTCTCCCATTTTTGGTTATTTAAAATAGAGGATCCGTATTTGCACAAAAGTCAACCATGTAGACCTGCTGACCAAAGTACAGAGCTCTTTTGATGCATTTGTGATGTGAGCCATGGTAGCAGATGATCAGCATAGGCCAGCACTGCACCGGGCTTGGCTGTTGTAAAAACAAATCAAAAAAGCAATGGACATCCACTTGAGGCTTTGTGCAAGGGGACCCAAGGCATCCTGAAATGGCTAAGCAGGGCTATTACTCCAGCTTTCCAAGGTGCAGAAAATAGTGTCCGATTTCTGCTCCTGAGCTAAGCTCGTCTCGCAGTAGTGTGTGAGGCTGGCTTTCCCTGACACTGACGTAGCCCCATGTCCCCCTATTGATTAAAAAGACACTCAAATGTGCAAGGGTTCTGGAATAGCATAGGGTGTAAGCTACCCTCTTGGCATTTTCCTGGATAAAAGATGTTTTTTGATTTGATTGTGGCCCCTGTTGAATGAGGGTCTCATGGGCTTATGACACTGCCCAAAAGTTTGGGTCTCTCAGATCCCAAATAAAGCATCTAGTTATTTAGCCAAACTCAATGTTTGACACTGTAGAAATGAACAACCATAACACCCGACAAATATTTACCAAGTATATAAGATACGCCAGGTATCAAGCTAGGTGGTGACGATACAGTTGGAAACTATGCCTGACTTCAAGGAACACAGTCCTGTATATTGCTTCAAAAAATACTAATCTGCAAACTAATTTTAGGTCTGGCTGGAAAAGAATCACCTGTGAAATGTATTTTAAAATGCAGATTCCTGGGCCCCATCTCCAGAGATATGGATTCAAGAGGTCTGGTGTGAGGACCAGGAATCTGTATTTTGAATAAGCCTCCCAGGTGGTTCTGATGGCAACCACTGGTCTGGAGGGATGAAAAAAAAAAGTTTTAAGTGTCTAAAGTATTTTAGTAACCTGTTGACACAGATACATAAGTGGAATTTTTTCTATCCAAAGTTGGGTTAAACAACTACTTTATATCCAGAAAACCCAGTCTTATAAATTGACTAAATTTTTTATGGAGCATCTAGAATTTGTAGGTATTTTGGTATCATGTCTCTAAATCAAATGTTCACGGACTCTCTTCTTTTTTTTAAAAAAAAATATTTATTTATATTTTTTAGAGAAAGAGAGCAAACAAGGGAGAGGCAGAGGGAGAGGGAGAGAGAATCCCAAGCAGATTCTATGCTGAGAACAGAGCCTGATGCAGGGCTCGATCTCACAACCCTGAGATCATGACCTGAGCTGAAACCAAGAGTCAGAGGCTTAACCAACTGAGCCACCCAGGCACCCCTGACCCTTTTCTTAAAATGCCGCTCACCTCCCACCCTAGAAGGCTATTTGGAGGCTTCTTACCAGTCTCCTCCTTTTGCAACTAGATCCCCCCCTCCTCTTCTACTGCAGCTATGCCACATTTTTTGCAAAAGGATAAGTATATCCCGTGCAAGGAATGTGTGTGTAAAGCATCTACAAGCCTCAAGTTCTGGTTGTTTAAATGGCTTTCAACATTTCAGGAGAATGATTGTGTCTGGTAGCCCTCTTACATTATTTTTTATTTGCTCTCACTTTCTTACAGGACTGGGAATGGAGAATATTGGTGGAATCTTTGTGGTTCTTATTTGTGGCTTAATCGTGGCCATTTTTATGGCTATGTTGGAGTTTTTATGGACTCTCCGGCACTCAGAAGCTACTGAGGTAAACCTTCAAAGGGGTACAACCTATAGTGTTGGTAGGTGGGATCACGCACCTACAAATGTCATTTCAGACAAAACCTGTGAGATCCCATAAGAGAGTGGAGCACCCATGGGACAGTGCACTGGAAAGAATCCCAGTCCCAAGGGCAAGAGATCTGGGTTAATAATGCTTCATCACTTACTGATTATGCAGCCACAGAAAGTGCTCTTAACCCCTGAGCTTCAGATTATTTTTCCAAAACAGCCCAGCAAATAAATATGTAATGAATGTTTTACACACAACAAAGTCTTATACAACTATAATTTAGCAATGCCTACATTTAGGCAATGTAGTTATGTAAAAAAGAAAAAAAAAAAAGCAAAAAACAGGCCAAAGTACCAGGCTACCAGTGCAGGCAATGACTTTGGTTCTTCCATCTTCAGGATGTTTTTGCCTAACCGGTAAAGATGTTTAGAGATATCCCAATTCATGTAAGGCCAAGAAGTCCATCTCCCTTCTCAGGGATCTTGAATAAGCTTAATTCTCCAAACCTGTGGCTCAGAAACTGGGTTAATATAAATTTCACACAGACCGAAAAGTCTGAATAGAAGGAAGAAGACTGGATCCTGTTCTGTCTCCGATCTGCCTCAGAGAAGGGGCAGTGATCCTTACGTGCTGATTGCATCATTCAGTTTTTAAAGTACGTTAGCTCCTGTCTCAACCTCTCAACTCCGGATCTTCGTAAGCTTCTTCCCTTAATTGATGTTGGAGAAACAGCTCATAGCAGGACGTGAGTGCACACGAGCCCCTCCGTCCGTGGAGTCCAGCCTCAGGCCGGGCCTCAGTACAGCACTGCCTTCTGGTCCTTTTATTTTTCTGTGTTCAGCTTCTTTCCCATACCCACTAGGACTTCCAAACCCTCACCCACTCCTCACATCCTTTTGCCCCTTCATGCATAAAGGCTAATTTTACCTCCCAACCCGTCATGAAATCAGGACTGGGTAGCCCCAAATTACCCCCCCCCCCACCTTAGTACTTGACCCACAGCTAAAGCCACCCCTGCAGCCACAGCAGATGCTTCTGGGCATCCCTCTGCTTCTGCCTTGGTCCCTCTTCCCTTGACTATTCTGGGGTTTTCCTTCCTTTTTTCTCCCCTTTATTTTTGCTTCCTGCTCTCTCGCCACAATCTAAAATTATGCTCAGGTCTATCTGCTAATTTCAAATAATAGCAGTCTTGGGGGGCCTGGGTGGCTCAGTCAGTTAAGCATCCAACTCTTGATCTCAGCTCAGGTCTTGATCTCAGGGTCATGAGTTCGAGCCCCATGTTGGGCGCCATGCTGGGCATAGAGCCTCCTTAAACAAAATAACAAAAAGCTGTGAAACAATAGCAGTGTTACTATTATTGCTCTTGGGCTGTCTTCCCCTCCTTCAAACCAATGTGATCTGCTGTCTCCATTTCCTGACCTCCCACCCAGTCCTCAACATAGGGCAGTCTGGCTCCTCCCCACTCCTGCACTAAAAGGTCACTGTTAAGAGGTCTAACCCCTCCCAATGGACAAAACCAAAGAGAACCCATTGGGCCTTCTTGTACTTCCGTGTGCCCTTCTGGAAGTGGACAGTTCCTTCCAAAAGCTCTCTCCTCCCTTGCCTTGCCTGACACCAAGCTTTCTTGGTTCCCCTCCTGCTTCTCCCTCCAGCTCTACTGGCTTTCTCCCTGTGTCCACTCCTAAAATAGTAGTGCCACTTACTCGTTCCATAAGGCTCAATTCAGGTGTTTCTTTCCCTGCGAAACTTTCCCCAGTTCTCCTGCCTTCTTCCGTGGACAAGAGGAGTCGATCATTTGGCCTCTTTTCCAGCACCATTGCAACCTATACATCAAGCACGTACACACTGTGTTGCAATGATTTTTCTGTCAAACACTGCAGTGCCTAAAAGTTGGGACTGTGTCCACCTCTATCTCTGTTTCTCTGCAAAGCGCAGTGCTTGATACATAGTTGACAGCCAATAAACTGTATGTCTGGTCACATGTCATAGATTAGGCAGGTGGTATTATTTTGGCTGTTAAAGTTATTACTGGAAGCACAGAGATATTAAGGGACTTGCCCAGAGTCTTTCTTAGTAACAGGTCTAAACAGGCCACATCCCATTAGGTGATACTACTTCTCTGCAGCTGCTTCAACTAGAGGATTTGTGCACATTCGGTTATTCTCAGGAGTTCAAGCAAGGCCTGGATGTGTCTTAAAAACTTCACTGAGGACTTCTAAGAGCTAACATGAAGAGTAAAGGCTTCATTAGCTGTTTGGCTTATGGTAGAGCAACAGTCGTGTTGACAGAACTGGAAAACTGGAAGAAAGATCACGAAAGCCCAGGTTTCTTCTCCCATCATAGGCTAGGAAAGTGTCCTTCCCAGCACAGAGTAGAGAACTAAACAGAGCGAACATATGCTTTGGAGTAGATGAGGTTTAGGTTCAAATTCTGGACCAGCTATTGATGAGTCGAGTAATTTTTCACAAGGCACACAACTCCTCTGAGCCTCTGTTTCCACGTCTGTGAAATGGGTATGGTCGAAGTAGCAGCCGCACAGGTTCGTGATTCTTTACCCACAATTCTGAAACCGATAAAGCTTGGAAAGTATCAAGTATTTCATACAGCTGATGCAAAAATGCCCTTGGCGGCAAAACTTGCACAGGTCTGAGCCTAATGTAATGTTGATGGTCTTTATCCCCCTCAGTCTAAAGGTATGTGCGTTTGGCTACAGAAATGCTAATGTGCTTTTTTACAGTTTTATTGATAAGTAATTGACATCCATTACTGGGTAAGTTTAAGGCATTCAGGATAATGATCTGACTTACATACATTGTGAAATGATCACCACCGTAGATCCAGCTAGCATCTGTCGTCTTATACAGGTACCATGAAAAGAAAAGAAGGAAAACTAGTTTTCTCCTTGTGTTGAGGACGCTCAGGATTTACTCTCTTAACAACTTTTAACATACTGGAATACAGGGTCTGCCCTAGACCCCACTGGGCTGTGATACACAGTATATTGCATGCGTGTAGTATTACCTCTCTAAAAGCTAAAATAGTCTGAAACATAGCTGGACCCAAGGGTTTCATATCAGGAGACTGCAGACTTATGGGGGTGGTGGTTGCTGTTGCTTTTGTCGTTGTAGTGATTATTATCTCTAGCTATACCCGGTTGATCTAAAGAATGAGAGTCTTTGGCTGAGAACAGAATGTTCATGGAGACATGGCTTTTTTCAAGTACTTGAAAGACTGACCTGCAGAAGAGGGGTTATTTATTTAGTGGGCTTCAGGTTACAGATTTAACTGGGAGGGATGGATGAAAATTTTGGGGGAGGCCAATTGTGAACTCGGTAGAAGGAAGCACCATGTCATGGGCTCTCTCCCAGTATGGTGAGGATCTTGTCTTGGGAGGCGTCCAAACCAAGACTGGACAGCCAGCTGGCAGGGCTGTTGGACACTGCGGGATGGAGGGCGTTCACGTGTTAAGTGGGAGGTGGCATGAGGGGACGGATTGCAAGGTCTTCCCAGTATCTCATACGATTATGTGATCCTGAGACACTGCCCCCCCCCCCCACCGTGCACCTGAACGGAAGGGCAAGGGATGTGCAAGGGATGTTCAAGGGATGCGCAAGGGATGCTCAAGGGATGCGCAAGGGATGCTCAAGGGATGCGCAAGGGATGCGCAAGGGGCCCGCAGGGGCTGGTTCCCAGGGTCGGGCCGTGACCTCCTCCTGCACCTCCCCCCCCCCCCAGGTGTCCGTCTGCCAGGAGATGGTGACCGAGCTGCGCAGCATCATCCTGTGTCAGGACAGTGTGCACCCCCGCCGGCGGCGCGCCGGGGTGCCTCCGCCGCGGCCCCCCGTCCCCGAGGAGCGCCGGCCGCGGGGCACCGCGACGCTCAGCAACGGCAAGCTGTGCGGGGCCGGGGAGCCCGACCAGCTGGCGCAGAGACTGGCCCAGGAGGCCGCCCTGGTGGCCCGCGGCTGCACGCACATCCGCGTCTGCCCCGAGTGCCGCCGCTTCCAGGGCCTGCGCGCGCGGCCGTCCCCGGCGCGCAGCGAGGAGAGCCTGGAGTGGGAGAAGACCACCAACAGCAGCGAGCCCGAGTAGCCGCCGCGCCGGACCGAGGAGGCCGGGCCGAGGCCCTGGGGAGGCGGGGGCGGCCGGGGCTCGGACAGCGGGCGCGGCTCTCCGAGCCTGGATCCGGGCCCGCCCGGAGGGGTCGCGAGCCGAGCCAGCGCCCCGCGTCCGGGGGCGGGGCGCTGGGTCCCCCGGGCGGCGAGGGCCCGCCCCCCTCCCTCCCGACCGCAAGGACCCGTCCCCTCCCGGGGGGCCTCTCCCTCCCGCCAGAATTGCAGAGTCTGGGGTGGGGGTCCCTGCGCAGACCCGCCCAATGAATCGGTGGAATCATCGGTGGGATGTCCCCCTAGGAGGGGGCCATTGTACCCCGGGTCTAGTTCTTACAGGAAAACACATTAAACTCAACAGGGAAGTTTTTCTTTTCTTGGATTTGTATATTTTTGTTAATGTTCTTTTGTTTTCCCTTCCGCCCCCCTCCCCGCCCCACTTTTCTGCTTTGTTCTCTTCTCAGTTCTGTTTGTTTTGGGGTGGTGTTTTGGTTTTCGTGTCTTGGAGGGGGAGACTGGGTTAGGCAATGGAAGTCTAAATAATCCGTTTCTTTTTCCCAAATTGTAGGATGTGGAGCCGCCAGTGCGTCGGATTTCAGGTGCTCACCTCTCTTTCCTGAGTGGGGGTTGGGGGCACCAGAGTGTAGGAGGAGGATCTTTGGGAAGAATAAGACGGAAAGTCTCAAAAGTCCATTAAAGTAATTTCTTAAATGCCAAAATCCAATCAACTCATAGTTTACTCAGAGAGACCTTGAGATGCCTGGGATTTCAGAAGTTAATGTCTTTTCTTTCTCTTTCTCCTCTTTTTGACGTTCACTATCACTGGGTTTGATTTTGGTCCTTTGGTGAATGTGATCTCTAAAGAGAGAGGGAGACCAGAATGCATGACGTGTCCTGGAGCCTCGCTTAATTAAGGAGCAGAGTGGGGTGATACATTTTTCCCATACTCTGGCCCTGCCTCCAGATGGAATGTGCTAGTCACAGGGGAGGAGTGGTAGGGCCACCTTGTTGGTATGGGGCAGACTTTGTCAACAGCATCTCTTTCTAACCAAACCCAGTAGCTGCCTATGAAGCCAGACCCCCCAAGGCTATCATGGGTTGGGTAATTTCTTTCTACTAGGTTCTGAGACCTGGGTGCAGGCGTGTGCATGAGTGTGTGAGCGTGTGCTGTGTGTGTTTATTAAGTGGAAAGACCTTAAGTAATCGAGAATTTGCCACATTCCTAGGAGACAGGTGGAGACTCACAGCTAATACACAGGCCTGGGAACTGGGGACTCCTGAGCCCTAAACTCAGCATGGGCAGAAATCCCCTTGTGTGACTTTGAGTAAAACATTTAACTTCTCTTCCATCCACAAAATCAGTTACTGATGCTTTCCAGGCTTTCAGATGGCTGCTCGTTACCACTCCTCTTGTGAGATGTTTGCAGGGTCCAGCGCACTCAGCTGATGGGAGGGGTGAGGCTTCCCAGCAACTGCTTGACCTTTGCTTGGCTTCGCCAGTTGGGAGTTTCATGCAGAGAGTTTTCATTTTCTGATGGAAAACAAATTCTATGCAACTTCTGATTGTAAACTTAGAAAATTCAGAGAAAGAGAGAATTAAACAGCCCCTACCACCACCTCCACCTCCACCACCACCTTGAATCAAATTGTCCTCACATTTCTGTTCTGAATGTACTAAAATAAAACCATCTTTGGAAGATGATGAGCTTAATTCCATGTTTTGTTTTGTTTTTTGTGGTTTTTTGTTTGTTTTTTGCTTTTTTACCATCTGGGTAGTTGAACATCTTCTGTGTGCCAGGCCAGTTAGTTAGGACTGCCATCCTGGGGGCCAAATCAGGGGGACCCTGATTTTTCCAGTAAAGGATGCCAGTTTTGTCCTAGGCTGTCCTTCTCCCTCATGATTTGGATTTTTTTTTCCTTTTCTTCTTTAACCATCAAATGATGGCAAGCTCTAAGAGGACACGAGCATTTTTTTTCAACCTTGCCTCGAGTCTTGTGGATTTGGTGGGAAGGGCACCGAAGGCCGCCTGACCACAGACCCCAATGGTGCCACACTGTTCCAACCCACAGCTCCATTCCCTGCTTCCGGCAATGTGGTCCCTACTGTCAGATCACATTTGGGGCGGGGAGGGTTGTTTTTTTAAAAACTCGTTTTTATGAGCAGGATATCTTGATCAATAGCCAACTTTTTTTAATGGATTAGTGGAATAAATGTCCCCATGAATCATTTATAAAGTCTGTTCCTTTCACCGTGTGGAGTAAAGATAAGGCTGACAGTGCTAGACAGTTTCTATTAGCTGCTGGAACTATTGCTACACCTCACTCAAGCTGGTGAGTGAACCTGCAACCAGCTAGTTCTCTTCCTTGGTTTGTCTCCACTTTTTATCTGTTGGTTGTTGGCTTTCTTTTCCATTCTGTATTTTCTATCTGACTCTGTATACTGTATAAAGCAGTTTTTTCTTGTCTGTTTATCTTTCTTCAACTGGAATATTTACAATAAAACAGAAACAAACCCTGAAGTGTTAGTGATGGATGAAAGCTGTTTGGGTTTGGGAAGAATAGTTTGGTGTGTCTTGACATCCAGGTACTCTAAAAGCAATTAAAAATATAAACCCACTTGGTGTCTTCCCCTCCATCTGCCCTTCTCCCCCCCCTCTTTACCCACCCCCACCTCCAACTCCCCCACCCCTTCAGCTCTTTGTGCAGATCGCAGAAAAGTCTAGGTGGCTTCTTTCAATTTGTAGTCCTGGGAGTCTGAGCCAACACCCGTACAGCCTCCCCTCCACCCTTCAAATGGATACACATGTTAATGAAGTTTGGGATTCGTAGGGTTTTGTCTTCCTAAATGCACTTTCACAGAATAGCCATCTATTGGTACCTAGGGTAACTCTAGTCAGATATCACCCCAGATTCCACTGGGAGCTTGAAGATTACATCAATTAAAATATAATACTTTGCTTTATTTCTTTTAATTGCCTTGCAGGGCCCCAACCGTCATAAGATCTCTACCCCAGAACCCAGGTGGGGTGTAAGTTGAGCATGTAGATGGCCAAAAATCTTTTGGCTTCCTCTAATCCAATGCTCATATGAGAATATTCATCCTGGGAACTTGCCAACCAGCCATCTTATTGGTTAGGTGAGACTGACATATCATGATAACCAATCCACCTGGGGCCACTCTGTGAAAGTTTATTAGTTTTGGATTCCAAGGAGTTGAATTTTCTTTCGGAATCCAAGGGGGACTTCCCCATGGTGTAGGAGTCAAATACATGAGGCCAGAAAGGGCTGGGGCATTTCAGACATGGCAGATTGGTGGTTGGAGTGAAGCTTGAGAGAACCATTTGTGGCTCTCCTGCCAATGGGGTGTGCACAGCAAAGTAAAATAGTCTGGAAATGATAAGGGAGATTTAGTTCCCTGACTGGTTGTTCCCTCTCTTGGGGTAATAACAAAGAAGCCTGTTTGAAAAATTCAGAGAAGGAATCCTTTCATAAAGATTTTTCTTAAGGCTGGAACTTCCTATGGGGCCCTCTCAAGACAGAAATTAAACCTTTAGTTACGTTGAGCTATGAGTTAGTTATTCCTGTGACTTTCTGTAAAAGATGACTTTCTCTCCATGGGCAAGTCCTCACCATTACCCAGAGAGTGTCCCAGTGTGTGTCAATCTGGTCATTCAACAGTATGCCTCAAAAATTGGTGATGTCATGCCTTCAAGAAAGCTCTTCTCATAGAGAGAAAAAGTATATATTTCTTTATTTTATTAAAATATATGCTTTATGTAAATATGAATATAAGTATTTATACATCCATATATCTAGATATAAATTCATAGATTTTACAGGTTGGCGTGGCTTCCAGAAAAAAAAAATGTGGCCAAGTTTTAGAACTGAAGGGGTCAACCAACCTGTTACAGTTTAAGGACAACCAGGCAAGAGAAGTTCTGGCACTCTTGATAGAACATCACTGCTCAAATTTTATTTAATGCCATCCTCCTAAATCTGAAAAAGCAATGAAAAAAATACTAATATTACCATTCCACAAATGGCACCAGCGTTAAGAAAGAAATCTACGAAGGCAATAAAACAGAAAACAAGCTCTCTGGTTGAAAATGGCAGAGGAATTGAGGTGCTAAAATGGAAGGGGCATAAAGAAATAGAGCCTATAATCTGTCCAGAGATTAGCTGAGAGCCTGTGTGTAAATATTTCCCTGGCTGGGGTGTACTGGAGCGTGTCAGGGAATCTGCCTCATGACTGAGGTTGTGTCTGGGGACTTGACCCTAGAAATGGGCTAGACTGTGCAGCGTTCATATTAGGGAGGATGGAGGTCAAACACGTAAGTGCAGTGATCCTCCTGCCAGAAAGTTGGCTGGAAGATCCTGCCCTCTTTCATACTCCTTGTGCCTAACCTAATGTTCTCTCTTGACCCTGCCAGAGAAACCTCTCATCCTGCTGGCAACTTTTTCAGGTTGGTGAGTGACCTTGAAAGGGTATTTCCTTCTCTTTTTTTTTAAGATTTTATTTATTTATTTGTTTATTAATGAATGAGAGACACAGAGACAGAGACATAGGCAGATTAGAAGCAGGCTTCCCCAGGGAGCCCGATGTGGGACTTGATCCCAGGACCCCAGGACCAAGGATCACGACCTGAGCTGAAGGCAGGCGCTCAACCACTGAGCCATCCAAGCATCCTGACAGGTATTTCTTTAACACACAGCACCGTATTACCTTCTGTGGGAAGGAATGAAGAAATGAAAGAAATGATCCGTACGCGGCCTGGGCAGGCAAAACTCACCTACGAGGAACAGTGGAAGTAAGGCATGAAATACCCAAGTGCTGGAGTATGTGATTTGGAATATAAACCATGTAGAAATTCAGAGGGGCTAAGGACTCCATCTCGGTAGGATTCCAGCTCTCCTATTATGCCTCTTCCTGTTGGCTGCCAACACTGTGTAGAGATTTTTACCTCTCATTCCTGGGCTTCTTCACATGATATTTGTGGGATTAGCTGCAGAAACAAACAGCTAAGCCCTACAGAATACAGAAAGGCTAACTGAAATAAGCGAGGAAATGGTCTGAAGTGGATGGTGAGCTCAAATATTTTTTATTTACTATTATTTTTTAAGATTTTATTTATTTATTCATGAGACACAGAGAGAGAGAGAGAGAGAGAGAGAGAGAAAGAAAAGCAGAGACACAGGCAGAGGGAGCAGCAGGCTCCATGCAGGGAGCCCGACGTGGGACTTGATCCTGGGTCTCCAGGATCACGCCCTGGGCTGAAGGCAATGCTAAACCGCTGAACCACCCAGGATGCCCTCAAATATTTTTTAAATTGGGAGGAAGGAGTGTGAATGCAGAACTGAAGATGTGGAACCAACGTGAAAATTAATACAGGATCAACCCCCACCCACCCCAATTTGTGATGTACAGAAACTGAGAAAAATTTTCCTTTTCAGTCCATTAAACCATCCTGTTATCCATGGCACATGGAGTCTGCCTGGAAAGTTATTCTACTCGGATTGTTCTGATTAGGTTTGTGGTAGCTTTTTCCATTAAGAATAACAGAATGTAACTTCCATTTCTACATCATCTGTAATCCTGTAGCACTAACTGAGCATAGAAAGGCATTTCAGAGCACCAAAACTTGGTCAAATGTGAAGGTCAAGGAGAGAAGTCACAAGCAGGTAAACAGCATCCAGCAGCATTACTAAGAGACTGCATGCCCACGCGCTCAAACGTGGTGACAAGGACTTGAAGAACTAGCTTAAGGGGGATCAGATGAAAAATAGTTCTGTACAGAGAGATTTACTTTTCTTTGCTTCTTCCCTTTCCCCTTGTGTAGACTGAACAGTGTGTGTGTGTGTGTGTGTGTGTGTGTGTGTGTGTGTGAGAGAGAGAGACAGAGAGACAGTTTAGCACAGACCTGCAGGATCTGTCAGTGCTCCTTATGCCCATTTCAAAAGAGAGAAGACACTTTGCATTATCACTTCAGCCTTTCTCCGTGCTGCCAGATAATATTGCTGGGTTTAGTCCTCTGGCTTAGTTCTCACCGAGTGATCTTTGATGTAATTTATTTCTAAGCCAACCGTATATGTAGATGCATGAAGTAAAAGGTGTTTTTTCCCCATTCCCAGTTGAGTGTTAAGATGCCTGAGCTGACTTCTTAAAACCTCTTCCCCTCCATGCCCATCAGCTGCAAAGCAAAGTTCCTCCAGTGCTAAGAAGTGACCAGACAAAACGTGAAGCCGATAGTGTTACTGAATACACCCTGTAAGAACAAGAGCAAGGCAGGTCAACTTCCATTTACGCTCCATACTTATCAAAGCCCCTGTCCATTTTTTGGCAGAAAACAGTGTTTAGAAAGGTCAAGACAATGGAATTGTTAAAATTTGCTTGGCTGGATTGGCCAGTAGAGAAGTCAGAAATAACATTTTTATTCAGCTAGCACGTCTTTTGTTCCAAATAAAGCAGCAGATTTGCTGAGGCTGCCATTATTTCCAGAGGATTTAAGGTCCTCCCTGATCCAGCTCAGGCTGATCTTTCAAACTTCTCCTGACACCTTTCTTATCTACCTCCTATCCACCCTGCAGTCAGACCATACCACTTCCCGTTCTGTCTTTATCCTGTTTATTCCATGCTTTTCTTCTAGGTCTTCACTTGGGTGGTGCTCACTCCTGGAATGCCCTTCCCAGTCATCTCTGTATTGCCAAAGTCCACCTATTGAAGAGCCAGCTCACATTATCATCTCCCCTGTGAAGTCTTCAATGATCCCCATCCCCAAAGGAGTGAGGAAATAACCTCCCCTTCTCCTGAACATCCCCAAACTTTTTAAATGGCCCTTAGCACTTCCCTCAATGAATTCTATGTACTTGATACGTATGTTGTTCTAATAACCCCCACACCTACCAGAGTAAGGCACTTCAAGTGCAGAGAAAATGCCTTTTTCCATCTTTTATTCTTTCAGTGTAAGATTCCTTGTGCATATTGAATTCCCATGAAGGAATGCATGAGTGAATGAGGCAAATTCAACCGAGACCAATGTACATAAAAATACTATGAGCAGGACACGGAGTGGCAAGGATATGCTAATATACCCTTGATCTAAAGCAATCATGCATAGAACAACTTAATAATTTATACCAGGCAAAAATATGATTTCCCTTCTTTAACTGGGCATGAAACTTGTATGGAGAGCAGGTTGGTAACATTCATAGGCTGGTGGAGCATTGGTTCCAGTCGATAGGTACAAGGGAATATCTTTTTCCAGCTGTCTACACACCTTCTCTATAGGTTAGAAGGATTCAGCCTCCTGACTCCCATGCCAGCTTTGGAAAAATCAATAAGCCTTCTCCCTTCTCTCCTCATTATCCTCAAAAAGTGATTTCCGCTCAAAATAAAATTACCAAAACTTGGTTCATTTCAATAGAAGTCCTTCAAGGTCATACTTGCTTAGAACAAATAGGACCGATCTTCTTTACCAAAATAATCAAAATCAACTTCAGTTTCTTCATACTTGTCAGGAAAACCAAAATATTTCCCCTTGGTGGTTTGCTTATAAATGTAAAACCATCATAACAGTTTGAAGGTCAACAAATTACAACTCCAGCATGCAGACTGATTACCATATGAGAAGTCTAGTCAGTTTTGATGAGTTGAGAAAAAATGCTCGTTTTCTTAACCTATATTTTAAGGTTTAGGTTTTTGAATAATTAAGTAATACACATGCATTATAGAAAATTTGGGAAATTAAAAAAGGAGAAGAAAAAAAGGAACACAAATGGCACTACCTAAAGAATATCAGTATTAAAATCTTGTCTTCTAGTGGTTTTTATGTGTTTTTGAATCATTGTGATCTTACTATGTGCTACTGCATTATTATCTTTCTCTCCATATACACTGAGCTTATCCAACAAGATCATGAACTACTGGAAGGCAGAAATTAGGTACCACACTTCTCTGGGGTCCCTGGAGTAGCAAAAAAATAAGCCTTGCTCAATGCTCTTAGCCGTAGTAGGTGCTGGAATAATGAGTGACTTAATCACTGACTTGTTTATCAGTCAATGAAAGAATAAAAACTCTAAAACAAGGTTCTTGCCCTGGAACGCTTATAATTTGTGTTAAAAGGCAAGTGCACAAAGCATCCTCACCCAGGACAATATAAGACTAAATGTGGAGTGAAGGATGGGATACTTGAAGGATATTTCGAGGTGACAGGTGGTAAGGAAAGTGACCTGGGTGGTACATACCCGAAGAGGGTACCCAAGATGGAATAATCTGAGGTGGTTTTTTTCCCAACTATCCAATAAGCCCCCAATAGAAGTAGGTTGCTCTACCTCCAACCAGTTCCCATTATTCTCTCCAGTGCCAAACAGCCTCTCCATCAACTGTCTCTTAGGACTCGCTATATTCTATACAAGCTAAAGAAACCAGAGCTCCTCTCTCTGCAGAGGGGAATTACCCAGCTCATGTTTCCTCCCAGCTCTGGGACAAGGAGGGAATTCTAGGCTATGTAGCCATGCGGTGGATACCTTTCTCTGCTGGTAAACCTACGAGAAAGGGTTTTTTTTTTTTTTTTTTTTTTTTAAACTTTTCATAGTTCTCTTTTAAGTTTGTCTGCTCAGGTGGAAGCGCTGAAACAGTACTCTCCTGCCTGGTTATCTGATCATTGTGGTCTCAGGGCCCCCATTATACAAGCTGTGCCGGAGCATTCCAGAGCTGGGTAACTTGCCTTAGCTCCAATGGGCAGCATGTGAGGGACACCGTGGGGACCTCGGGGGCTTCTCAGATGGCCTGAATTCAATGACTAGTTCCCAGCTTAATCAATAGGGGCATAGCAATCAGGTGGATGTAAGTCGGGCTGGAGCTGAAGGATTTTCAAGTAATCGTATTGGAGGATTGCCGTGGGTATAAAGAAATGTATAATATCAAGCCACATTTGGCATGCTCCAGTGAAGGTTGTGGCAGCTTGTCTGACAGGGTGCCCGCCTCTTTAACAGCTCTTTTAATTCCAGATGAAATGAAAATTCCCTCCTTAGTAGTCATTAAGGCTCCAATTTTATTTCTCATTATTAAACCATGAAGTTGGCCAAAACATTTAAATTAAGCAAAATGAAGAGATTTATGGGCAAATTGGAGCCTAGGTGAAAAATTGAAGCATAATCTCCGAAGATTAAGAAAAACACAATAACCACACTGTTGGGAAAAAAAAAAAAAAAAAAAAGCAAATCTCAGCGTAAACAGGGGGAAATGTTCTTTCTTATTTTTCCCAAAGAACCAGCTCTTTAAAATTGAGTTTTTAGATGATGATTTCATGCTTGGTAATACCCACATGATTTGAGAAATGTTGGAATAAGACTTAAATGGTATTTTAGTCTCCGTGCAGAAGTGGAGAAGTATGTCAGATTGATAGCCCTAAGCAGCCAATAGCCTCCTGTGGAGAAAGAACACTGTGGAGAGGGCAACATGAATTATTTCAGATCCCGCTTGCCCTAAAGACAGACTCCCGCTAGGTGGCCAGTGTGGGGGTCAAAGATTAAACTTGTTTGATCTTCAGTTTCTCCACTGAGAGTGTCAGGAAGGCGCAGTGGTGCCAGAGGGAGGGATGTTTCCAGCCAGCTGAGTGTCTGTGGTTAGGCGCAGGGCTGAGGCCCCCGCTTATCCTTATCACAGGCCGTCTTCCTCCCTAAAGGAGAATGCTGCTGCAGGGGCAAATCTGAACTGCTAACTGAGCAACGGAAGGTTCCAGAGCCAGCCACCTCAGCCAGCCACCCACCATTGAAAGCATTTTAATTTAAGGCCAAAGGGTGTCATGGATAATTGTAATCTCATCTGTTGGTCCTAAATCTCTTCCAGCAGTGAGGAGAGGCAGTTATCTTGAGGGCAGTGAGGACAGTGATTGCTCCTTGGGGGCTTTCAGAGAAAAATCCATTTACTTCCAAACCCCACGCTAAGGCTTTCCCTGAAGGTAAGTGGTATGATCTGGAGGTTAGTGTTAATTACTGCTAGATTCCTACTGTCCCCCAGATAGTGCATCTCCCCATAAATCTCCTGTGGTCCCTTAAGTTGTCAATAAGAGTGTACGACATGGAGCTAATCATCGTAAGTCAATTGTTACCCAATAGCAGAGACAAGGCCTGGGAAAGGTCAACTTTTATGAAGGCATGGAGGCTCACGAGAGGTGCGGGGCCTGCACGAAGGACCCTTGGGGGGCCGGGGGTTGTGGGGAAAGCTGAAGGGAATGAATGTCCTCTTCGATGTCTGCTGTATTCCAGATGTTATAGGAGGTGCTTTCACCTAAGCGATATTTCATCCTCACTGTAACTCTCGAAGGCAGGCACTCTTATCCTCTTTGCAGAGCTGAGGAATTGGAGGCTCAGGGAGCAGAAGTAAATTGCCCATGTGCAGAAACCTTTCCCAGCATGGATGTAAACTCGTTTGCCAGCTTCAAAGAGCATGCTCTTTCTGCGGCATCATGCCAACTCCCTGGAAATGAAGGAACAGGGGGCTTGTCTCACAAGTGAGTCAGCCAGGATTCACCTGCCTAGAAGCCGATGAGGGAAACTCCCTTTATAACCCACCCAGGATCAGAATGGAGGTAGGATCTCTACATAAGAACAGGAGCCTGAATTGATAACCAGATTTCGGTCCCCTCAAGATTCACCTTTCCCTTGGAGTCTTGTCACCCATCACTGTTGCCATCTTTGTCTCCAGGGCCACTTCTGCTCTTCCACAAGTCAGATTCAAGTGTACTTAAGACTCTTTCCTTCATTCCCTGTAGTAGAGCAGCACGAAGGCTAAAGTTATGAAATAAGACTCAATTAAAGGCTCAGAGGTAACGAAGGGAAAATAAACACAGATTAAGAGCAACTAACTAATTAGGCCTGGGGGCTGGAACTTTTCTCCAGAGCCTGGCCCAGCCTCACAGGGCCCATTTTCCTCTGCAGGGCAGGGGCCAGCTCCTTCACCCCACTCCACCCCAAGCATCCAAGAACATTTTCAGGCATGTCCAAGGAAATTCAGCACACTGCTTAAAATCAGTCTTCAAGTTTCTCCATTTTTTTTTAAGATTTACTTATTTTAGAGAGCAAAAGAGTACAAGTAGAAGGGGCAGATGGAGAGGGAGAAACTCAAGCAAACTCTGATCTGAGTGCAGAGCCCAAGTGGAGCCCCATATCATAACCTGAGCTGAAACCAGAAGTCCTGTGCTTAAGCGGCTGTGCCAATCACAGCATCCCACCCCCAGTCTTCCCATTTCTAAGCAACTACTTTCCTCATGCAGATGGGTGTCAGTCTGACTTATTTATTGCTAGTACCAAATGAATAACCCAGTCTGAATAGAAAAAGGTCAGTAGCATAGGAAAAGGGGAAGAACTGTTTATAACTTGTTAAAATAAGAATACCAGTGACATTTTTATTTATTTATTTATTTATTTATTTATTTATTTATTTATTTTTTACGTTTTTATTTTTTAATACAACCGCTCAAAGACTGGCAGCAACTGGTTTCCTTGACCACCATCATTGGGACCTCATTGAATAAATTCTTCTGCATTATCTATTGCATTTAGAACAAGTCCTATTTTCACAGAGCTACCAAGTCAGCTATTATCAAATACTTGAAGACCTTCAAAACTAGAGTGGAATATTTCACACCCATTAGGAAGGCAAAAATAAATAAATAAATATCCGATAAAACCAAAGGCTGATGAAGATGTGTGGTCAAAGTGTCTCCTCCATCTACTGCTGCTCGGAGTGTAAACTGGAGCACAATTTGGCAATAGCTAATAAAGGTAAAGATGAGAAACACACAGTGAATCATCAATTCTGTTTCTTAGCATGCACTCTAGAAAAATTCTTGGAAATGTTCACAAGTAGACATGAACAAGAAATACGCTGTGACAGTTTGTAACAGCAAAACAAACAGACCTTTTTTAGGAAACTGGGAAAAAAATCTAAATGTACACCAATAAGTGTACAAACAATTAACTAGCTCTACATATTTCCATATGGATAAGCCTTTACAATATAATATGGAGTGGAACTCCTGCCTCCCAAGTGAACTATACAGTCTCTCAAGTTTAATCACAGACCAGGAAAGATGTTTGCTCAACTATTCTTTCAAAGCAGTATTAATTATATGGACATGGCCACAGTTAGATATTTTGAGAGGTTGAACTATCGGTCTCACGTCAGCAAGGAAGCTTTTCCTTAAGGAAACCACTCGTGGTTTGAGTGCATCTATAATACGTGGAAGGTTGCTGTACAGTGCTGGCATGGACTGGCTGTGTGCTGAAGATATGAAACAGGTGCAAGCAGGAAAACAAATCCCCAAAGCAACTCCCTATCACAAATGCACAAAAGGGGCAGTAACCTCAGTAAAGGAATTCAGATAAGTGGTTTTTAATGAGAATGTGTTAGTCAACAGAAATCTGGACTAGACTATTCAAGAACTCAGATTGCACTGTTGCTACCAACAGAGCAAAAGAATTGAGAAGTGCTTTCTCCCTCTCTACTAGAGTATTAACTCTACTCAAAAGATCAACAGAGTGATTTCTTTTTTCAAACGATGTTTAGTCCTATGTGCCACTGGGAAGAAAATCATACAAAATAGGAATTGTAAGAAACCAGGGGAGGAAGGAACTCCCTAATTAAATGGTGGACATATAGAGGTGGCATGGTACGGTCGGTGGAAAGTCTGAACTGGAGCCGCAATCTACTCCACTACTTATGAGCCCTGGGCAATTCATTTCATGGTTATATGGGCAAACCTTGCAAATATTGTGCAAACTCCAGACCACCACAATAAAGCACATCAAATGAATGTTTCAATTTCTTGGTGCATGTAAAAATTGTATTTACACTTTACTATAGTCTCTCAACTGTGCAATAGCATTATATCTAAAAAAAAAAAGTACATACCTTAATTTAAGAATACTTTATTGCTAAAAAGTGCTAACCATCATCTGAGCTTTCAGAAAGTCATCTTTTTGCTGGTGAAGGGTCCTGCCTCAGTGTGGATGGCTGCCAACTCCTCGGCGTGGAGGTTACTGAAGGCTGGGGTGGCTGTGGCAAGTTCTTAAAATAAGACAACAATGAGGTTTGCTACATCAGGTGACTCTTCCTTTCATGAATAATTTCTTTGTAGCATGAGATGCTATTTGATAGCATTTTACCTACAGTAGAACGTCTTTCAAAACTGGAGTCAATCCTCTCAAACCTGCCACTGCTTCATCAACTAAATTAATGTAATATTTTAAATTCTTTGTTGTCATTTCAAGTCTTCACAGCCTCTTCCCCATGAATAGATTCCACCTCATGAAACCACTTTCTTTGCTCATCTAGAAGAAGCAACCCCTCATCCGTTCAAGTTTTATCATGAGATGGCAACAATACAGTCCCATCTTCAGGCGTGACTTCTGATTCTAGTTCTCTTGCTGTTTCCACCACATCTGCAGGTACTTCTTCCACTGAAGTCTTGGACATCTCAAAGTCATACACGAGGGTTGCAATCAAATTCTTCCAACTCCTGTTAATGTTGGTATTTTGACCTCTTCTCATGAATCCTTCTAGAGGTTTTCAATTAACTTTGCCTCGCTCCATAGAGAATCATTATCTATGGCAGCAATAGCCTTATGAAATGTATTTCTTGAATAATATGACTTGAAAGTCCAAATGACTCCTTGATCCAGGAGCTGCAGAATGGATGCCGTGTTAGCAAGCATGAAAACAACATTAACCTCGTACATTTCTGGCAGAGCTCTTGGTTGACCAGGTGCATGCCCGAACAGTAATATTTTGAAAGAAATCTTTTTTTTCTGAGCAGTAGGTCTCAACAGTGGGCTTAAAATATTCAGTAAACCATGTTATAAACAGCTGTGCTGTCATCGTGGCTTTGTTGCTCCATTTACAGAGCTTACGGAAGAGTCGATTTAGCATAATTCCTAAGGGCCCCAGGATTTTGAGGGGTAAATGAGTATTGGCTTCAAGTTAAAGTCACCAGCTGCATGACCCCCTAACAAGAGAGTCAGACTGAGCTATGAAGCCAGGCACTGATTTCCTTCTAGCTACGAAAGCCCTAGATGGCATCTTCATCCAATAGAAGGCTGATCAGTTTATGCTGAACTATCTGTTTTAGTGTAGCCACCTTCACTGACTACCTTAGCTAGATCTTCTGGATAACTTGCTGCAGCTTCTACATCACCACCTGCTGCTTCAACTTGCACTTTTAGGTTAGGGAGACGGCTTTCCTCAAGCCTCATGGACCCACCTCGGCTAGCTTCACACTTTTCTTCTGCAGCTTCCCCACCTCTCTCAGCCTTCAAAAAATTGTAGAGAGTCTGGGCCTTGCTCTGGATTAGGTTTTGGCTTAAGATTTGATCCTCTATCCAGACCACCATTTCCTCCATATCAGCAATTCGGTTGTTTCACTTATCATTCATGTGTTCACTGGAATAGCACTTTCAATTTTCTTCAGGGACTTTTCCTTTGCACTCACAACTTGGCTAACTGGCTCAAGAGGCCTAGTTTTTCTGCTGAACTTCACTTTCAACATGCCGTCTTCACTAAGTTTAATCACTTCTAGCTTTTTTTTTTAAGATTTTATTTATTTATTCATGAGAGATGGGGGGGGGGTGGGCAGAGACACAGGCAGAGGGAGAAGCAGGCTCCAAGCAGAGAGCCTGATGTGGGACTTGATCCCAGGACTCCAGGATCATGCCCTGGGCCGAAGGCAGGCACTAAACTGCTGAGCCACCCAGGGATCCTTCTAGCTTTTGATTTACAGTAGGAAACGTGTGAATCCTCCTTTCACTTGAATACTTAAGAACCCATTGTAGGGTCATTAATTGGTCTAATTTCAATATTGTGTCTCAGGGGATAGGGAGGCCTGAGGAGAAGGAGAGAGAGAGAGATGAAGGAACAGCTGGTTGGCGGAGCAGTGAGAACATGCACAATATTTATCAATTAAGTTTGCCATCTTATGTGGGCACCCCAAGACAATTACAATAGTAACATCAAAGATCACTGATCACAGATCATTGTAAAAAAATATAATGAAGACGAAAGCTAAAAATATTGCCAAGAATAATCAAAATGTGACACAGAGATACGAAGTGAGCAGATGCTGTTGGACAAAGGCCATGATAGTCTCACTCAAGACAGGGTTGCTACAAACCTTCAATTTGCAAACATCTGCAAAGCACGATGAAGGTTAGTAAGAGGAGGTATGTCTGTATCCTCTGATGTCTTATTTTGTAAAATAGAACCTCTCACAGTGTTACTGGGAGGATTGCAGAGATAATGCATGTAAAAGTGCATGTGTACAGGGTTTAGGAAATAAGAAGAGCCCAATAAATGGTATAGAGTTTGTGATGATAATTATTATCCTTCTTCAGGCTGCTACTACTCACTGCTATCAACTATACCCTTCTTCTAATATTTATGCTGCTGATGGGAAAGGCATAGGAAACTTCCAAAGTGATCATAATTTAAGTCAGTAAAGCATTTACTAGCAAGATGTAACTTCCTGCACTCAGATGATAGCCAGTCAGTCCATTTTATTAATACAGTGCTTTCTGGATTCATTTTGACTTTATTGTTTGCACATTATTGATCAGCTGATTATGTAGACTAGACTGGGCCCCTGCAGAATTATTCTCACAGAATTACCCTTTGGTGAGATGCTTCTAGCTGAGCTGGAGGGGCTTTATGGGGAGCCCAATGAGCCTCACTGACTCTACTGTAAAGACTGTGTTTGGGTATGATGTTCGCTGCATCATATTGTGTCCATTTCACCAGGCCTCTAGGGAAACGCCACCTGACTTTAGTGCCAAAAACAGCTAAAAAATATCCCTCAAGCAATTGGTTTGATCCTCTGGGTACTGTGAACAGATGAGGTTCCTTTCCTTTGAACCCATAACTGGGAAGCTCAGCATGAGGTCTACAAACTGTTGTCACTGTGTTCATGTTCTAGACCTCACCTTGGAGTTATCTTTGCTCCTGCCTCCCTTTTCTCTTCTTCTTTCACCCTGATTTTAGCTGGGAAGAGACATATAGGACATACATATATACCATAGAGTGCTCCATACTAATCTACGACAGAAATTATGTAGTGTTATCATTCTGGGTGGTGTAAGGATAGATTAGTATACAATAGACTCATCTGGTTTAGTTTCTCCCATAGACCCTTCCTATGCACACATTAAAATGCAGCTCTTTAAAAAGACAGTTAAATTGTTAACTCCCACCTAGATCCTAAGTGTTTTCCCAGTACATCATTTATAATATGGTGTCGTACCTCAGGAGATGAGGTATTGAAGTGCTGCTTGAGACATGCTGGGAAAACTCTGGAAAATAACTTGCTAAAAGAAAAACAGTTCAGGAAAGCAATTTTATGTTCCATTTTCCTGGTGGGACGCTCTCTGGGATGGGTTGCCATTGTTTATGTGTAAGCAGCAATCTATTCCATGTGCTGAATGAAAGAGTAGAGCAGTGCCAATCTGAGATGTTAACCAGCAGCACTCAGCAGATAATTTATGGGGCAGAGAGTCAAGGACTCCTGCTTCCACAATCATTGTCATTGTTATGCATGAAGGGCCACCATTATACTTTCTGACTTTTGCTCTCTGGTGTTTCTGCTTGGAAAAACAACAACAAAAATATATATGTTTGCCATAGGTTCAAAGGCATATCTTAAGACATTCAAATCACATGCCTTATCCCTACTGAGAAGAGGACACCCAATTCAGCATGATGATCCAAAGTGAGGTAATGGGCCTCCGTTCTGAGCCATGCATACTCCCTCCCCTCTTTTAGGAAAGGCACAGAGACACTTCCTTCACCCCAGACTATTTTGCTTCATAACTGTCTGTAATTCTTTTTTTTTTTTTTCAAATCTTTTTGAGCAAATCCTGGTGAGGTGCTGTGGAAATGGATGTGATGTCATGAGGGAAACATGTGAGGAAAGATCCCTTCTTTTCCCTTCATCTCCCTCAAAACACTGGACTGCATGGTTTCTCTTTTAATTGTGGAATTAATGGAGAAAAGGAGAGAGCTTGGTCTTGTGGAAGAGAGGTCCACAGAGAAGTTCCTCAGGAACATGTAGAAGCAGAATTAACTGCCATAAAACAGGACATAGAAATCTCCATTCTTTTCTGAAAATGCTCAAACAATGGCTTGTGCTTCATTCCCTTCGGAACAGCTTGCCTGGATAGGGGCCACACAGCCTAATGATTGACCTGTATGGGCTCTGGAATCAGGCTTCTGGGTTCAAATCCCAATTCTACCATTTTATATTGTGTGGCTTTCAACAAATTGTTGCAGTTAATTTCACTAAACCTCATTTTTCTCAACTGTACAATAAGGATGGTAATAACAGTACCTGCTTCATAGCATTGCTGTAAGGATTAAATGAGATAGTCTCCATAAAGCAATTAGTATAGTACCAGAACATATTAAGCACCAAAATATGTCAGTCATTAGTATTTATAGGACCAAAGTCATTTTAAGGATGGTTGATCCACAAATTTTTATTTATAAGATCTCTTTTTAGTGAGAAATGATTCTTCATGCTCCCACATAATAGGATCATAGTGTTAAGTGATTAAGAATTAATATTAGTATTTTTAAAATTACAGATACTGACATACATTTTTTAAAATAAGAATTAGTATTTTTAAAATTACAGATACTGACATACATTTTTTAAGTGGCTATATGTATTTAGGCACTGTTATTTATTCAGGGATTGGTGCACACGGGGATTTGCAGATCCCTCATCAAGTCTGAGTCCATAGTTAAGGAAACATGGCCTCCTTGCAATCAGTCCACTGTGTTCTGTGGAATAGTAGGGTGCAGTGACATGTTATAAGGTATTCTATGACAAAAGGCTCTGAGACCAAACATGTTTGGAATATGCTGCATGAAATAGTTAAACCATTTTCTCTACTGCAGGACATCTTGGAGTATTTATAATGCAAATATGTGCAGTGACTCTCCAAAAGATAAGATGCTGCTTTTCCCATACATTTTTGACAAAAGGTGTATGTGTGTGTGTGTGTGTGTGTGTGTGTGTGTGTGTGTGTAAGAGCACCTACAGCAACTTGAGAACATGAGCACTTTCACCAGACCTCTTTTCACTGGCAGAAATGCTCAGTAGCTTCTAAAGTAGCTATCTAAAATTCCCCTGCTGCTTTACTACTGACACCAACACTGCTGTTGCCCTCCTTGCTACCTACTTTATTTTTTTTTTATTTTTTTTATTTTTTATTTTTTGCTACCTACTTTAGAGTGCCCCTCTTCTTAAGATACTACAGCCCTTTAAAGAGGCTTCCCAAAGGGTTGCCTCACTCTCTGAGTTTATAGACTCTTCCATGAGGAAAGTTCCCAAGGCCTCAAAGAGTCTCCTGTATGTTCTATGTGAGTATTCCTTTCTGCACACCACAACGTTGTGACTTAGAATGATCTAGCCACTTTGACTCTTACCTTCCCCAGGCAAATTTCCTTCCTATCCCAGAAGCTGGAGAAATATTTTCCCCACCTCTTTTCAGTGTGCTTTAATTCCAGTGCCTTCTTATCCTGTTGACAATAGGAACACCAATTTCTCATCCCATAAGACTCACAGGAACCTGTTGCATGTTTCTCTGGATGGCAAACATAAACCTTTTTCCTATTCATTTGTTCATTAAACGAATATTTATAAAGTGCCTGAGTCAGACATCTGTGGAGTAGTAATAAGTATATTTTGGAGGTAGACAGCGTTTGGTAGAGTCAAGAATGAATTCCATATTACTAGTTTTGGCAGCTGGTGTGGAAAGTGGTACTGTTTACTAAGATGTGGAAGATTAGATTGGGAGAGGAAACAGGGAGGGGTCTGAGATTCCTTTGACGCATGTTAAATTTGAGATGCCTAAGGACTATTGACATGGAAATATTAGAAAGGCATTTGGAAATACAAGCCTGGGGGTTGAGAGATGTCTGGGCTGGTGATTAAGAATTCATCGGTGAAGATGTTCTTTAAATCTCTGGCAATAGACATGATCTAGGGACAAATGAGAAAGGACAAGGAAAGAAGAGGCCCTAGGAACCTTTGGGAACTCTTATTATTTGGAGGTAGGGCAGAGGAGGATAGACTAAGACTAAGAAGGAGCAGCCAATGTGACAAGAAAATCAGGAACAAGTAATGTCCCAGAGGCTAGACAGAAGGGAGAGCTTGAGTGAACCAAATGCTACTGTGAGTTTAAAATGAAAACAGAAGTATCCATTGGTCACCCTCACAAGAATGGTCAGTGGAGAGTGCTGGAAAGAGAATCCACATTGGAGTCAACCCAAGAGGAAATGGTGAGAGAAAAAACAGAGACAACAAGTGTAGCAACTATTTCGAAAAAACTTTCCTGGGAGGGGATCCCTGGGTGGCTCAGCGGTTTAGCACCTGCCTTCGGCCCAGGGCATGATCCTGGAGTCCCGGGATCCAGTCCTACATTGGGTTCCCTGCATGGAGCCTGCTTCTCCCTCTGCCTGTGTCTCTGCCTCTCTCTGCGTGTCTCTCATGAATAAATAAATAAAATCTTTTTTTAAAAAAATAATAAAATAAAACAAACTTTCCTGGGAGGGGAGCAGAAATATAAAGCAGTCAGAGAAGGGGTATAGAATGTGAAGTAAAGAAGATGGGAAATACTAGAGCATGTTTATGAGAATGATCCAATAGAGAGGAAGACATTATCAAAGCATGAAAAGAAGGGGAAAACCAGAAGGTAGAAGACTTTGGGTGGATGAAAATAAAGAAATCCAGAACACAAAGGGAGGACCTTTGATAGGTGGAAGGATACAGCCTCCATTTGAGCAGCAGAAGAAACAGGGACAAGTGCAAGTTTTTTTTGGGGGGGAGGTGTAGATAGATAAATAAGTTCCTATTGATAGTATTTATTTTTACTAATGGTCTAAAGTGAGGTCATCTGCCTAGCAGGAAGGAAGGCAGGGATATAGTGCATCCAGTCAGCTCAGTTGTGTAATTTTCTCTAGCAACACTCAGCTCCTCTGGTTCTAGCATAGTTAGGTTCACCCTTGGGAACCACACTTGGGAATATTTGCAAGGGGGTGGGTATAGACCATGGAGCCTAAACTCTATAGCACCCACTACCCACTATAGCAGCTGGTACACAGTGGACAATTATGAACTAATGAAGAATGTACATCTCCCCTGACATGGCTCCCATAACTTGTTTATATACCCTCAACAAAGTTGGAAAATTTAAGTCTTGTGAGTGGAAAGAGTATTTGGACAGGGACCCAGGTTCTATAAATTCTTGAGTCTTGTCCTGCTATAGTCATCTAACCAATTTTTCACTTTCTTTTCCTTATTATGGTATTTGATGTACATATATATCAAATACACACACACACACACACATATATATATATACTCATACAAGGGACAAGGACATTCTTTATTTTTTGTGAGGTCTTTGCCTTAAACCTTTCCCTTGAGGAATGTGGTCTCTAAGGGAGGGAGGGGTCACATATATAATAAGTTACTTGTCAAATCTATAATAGAAGAATGTGGAAAGTACTTGAAAGCATAATGGAAGGAGCAATTTAATTTTTTCTGGTAAATGGGGATGTCTTCACAGAGGAATTGACATAAGAGCTCAGACTTAAAAGACAAAGGTTTCATTTAAGGCTTAACTATTCAATAGAAACTCACTTTCAAGAATAGAAAGAACTTATAATAATAGCTAACACTTATTGAGTGTTTACTATGTGTGTGTCAGACACTAAGCACTTTAATATTTTATTTATTTTTTTAAAGATTTTATTTATTTATTCATGAGAGACAGAGAGAGAGAGAGAGAGAAGGAGGCAGAGACACAGGCAGAGGGAGAAGCAGGCTCCAGGCAGGGAGTCCAACATGGGACTCGATCCCGGGTCTCCAGGATCCCACCCTGGGCCAAAGGCAGCGCTAAATGGCGGAGCCACCAGGGCTGCCCGCACTTTATATATTTTAGCCATTTAATCTATAAATAGGTTCTATTTTGACTTCTATTTTTCTGATAAAGGTTAGAGAGATTGATCACTCTGCTACTGAGAGGCCCAAATGGCACTCAGACCAGATCTTAGTGACACTACAGCCCAGGAAGAGGAAATGGCACCAGCAAAAACATGGGGAAGGTGAAAGTGCATGAGATGCCCTTGTAAGGGAAAGCAGACTGATCGGGGCAGAGTGGGGAGAGAATAATACAGAAGTAGGGCACAGACAGGAATAGGAAGAACAATGAAAACTAAGCCAGGAAAAATGGGTTATACCCAGATTCTAGTCCTCAATTATGAATGAGTTTTCTGGTTATCTATTTGCTGTACAACCAACTTCCCCAAACTTAATGGCATAAAACAATCATTTTATTATACTCATAAACTTGCTGGGTCAGGAATTCAGAAAGAACACAGTGAGATGGCTTGTCTCTGCTCCATAATGCCTGGGGCCTCCACTAAGAATATTCAGTGCTGAGGACTGGAAATATATGAAGGCTCGAGGCTCACTTACTCACATGTCTGGTTGTTGATGTTAGCTGTTGGCTGAGACCTTAGCATGGTTTTTGGCGAGGATTGTTGGAATGCCTTCCATGACCTGTCCATGTGGCTACATTGGTTTCCTCACAACGTGGTGGCTGAGTTCTAAGCACAGCTGTTCCAAGAGAACAAAAGCATAGTACATGGGATTTTACTCCACTGGTTAAGGCAGTCCAAAGGCCCAACCCAGGTTCAGGGAGACAGGACACAGGCTCCACCACTCAGTGGAAGAAGTGTCAAAGAATTTGTGACATACTTTAAAATTATCACAGAGTCAGTAAATGAGGTCATTAACTAAAGAGAGATCTTTAATTTTATGAAAAACTAGTCTGCTACCACTGAGGTGATGTTTATTGCCATACAGCTTCTTCACGTAAAGTATGGAATAGTACTCATTGTTCTTCCAAAGTCTCTCCCAAACCTTTCTTTTTCTCATTTCCTTTCCCCTTTCTATAGGCTACCTTACTTCCCTCATTTATAACTTTACATGAGAAAAGCCAACTTTAGAAGAGTCATATAGGAGTACCTTGAAGATTTTTAGAGAAAAATAGCTACAAAATTCTAACAAAGCATAATGAAATAACATATAACAGAACTTCATATTGAAGAGGATTATCTTCCCAGTTCCTCAATGGTTGGCTGAATCTTTTGAACTAACATTGTGTATGATATTTTTAATTGTACTCAGTGTTATTTCAAAATTGGTACAATTTTTTAAAATGACATATTCACATTGCTCAGTGGAAACTCCTGAGGTAGGTGAACAGTTAAACCTTCCAAGACAGATGGATACCTATGAGCAATATTTAATCTTAATTACAAGCAGGTTTATATATGACATGTTCCTGGCTTGGAAACAATGCTTACTGTGACACAACTTTGCTGAGCTAAATGGTTACAGAGAGTGGAGAACAAACATCTGCATTGTGAGCCAGGATTTAAATCATGCCTAAGAACACATTTGATTAGATGCTTCTATGCAGCTTCAATTGTGCCTACAAATGGTTCTTTAAAGTGTAACTCAATAATACAATTACTAGTTCAATTACATTCCAACATTCTTTATTAATTTGTTTATTTCACAAATTTAGTTGCCTAACTACCATGACCAAGTCTTGTGCTAGTCAGTGAATGCTATCAACAAACTATAGCTCAAGAAGTATGCCATTTTTAGAGAGATTCTCACTTTCGTGATTACTCTTTACTGAAGAAAATACCTTGGCTTTGCATAAAATTTATCTTTAGAAGCTAAAGGAGTAAGTGCATGAAAAGCAGGGAACAATATCTGGCTCGAGCAAGAACTCAATGCATGTTTAGCTACTATTATTATTAAACCCAAAATGCTCACTAAAATTTTCTCAAGTTCCCATACCCATTCTCACTGTATTTCTTGAATTATGTCAGGGATTAGTAAAAATGGCAAAAAGATGTCATGGTAGGGATCCCTGGGTGGTGCAGCGGTTTGGCGCCTGCCTTTGGCTCAGGGCGCGATCCTGGAGACCCGGGATCGAGTCCCACGTCGGGCTCCCGTTGCATGTAGCCTGCTTCTCCCTCTGCCTGTGTCTCTGCCTCTCTCTCTCTCTCTCTCTCTCTCTCTCTCTCTCTGTGTGTGTGTGTGTGTGTGTGACTATCATAAATAAATAAACATTAAAAAAAAGATGTCATGGTAGAAATGAATTGGCAACTTCCACTTCTAGTCTCCCTTTGAAGATAACTAGAACAACTGGACAAAAAATTTTTTTTTAATTCGTAGGCATCACATAACTAGTAAGGTAAGGAAAGAGGTCAAGAACCAAGGATAGAACCCAGAGAGGCACTGTGGCTGTTTTCCCTTGCTGGTGTCTGCTAATTCAGGAATAGACAACTGAGAGGCTTATAAACTGAGCAGTGTTTTTTCAAAACCTCATGAGATTAGGAATACAAAACTAAAGACAACAATTTGTCCAAGACCTGACAAGGAAGGCCTTAATAATACACCATGTTTTGGTTAGGTCTCCAAAGAACTACTTCTTGGAAGGAAGGATAAACTGGAATAAGACTAGCTCACAAAGATTTTGTAGCTCACAAAGATTTTGAAGCCTAAATTCAAATAATGTCTGAAATTAGATTAGAGTGCTCAGAGATTACTGGTGCCCTAGTTTCTTGCCCAAGGCTAATCTAAATTCTTTCTGGAGAAATATAGCCATTTCCTTGGGCCTTAAATTATTGCTATAATGTTTAATATACAATTCATGTCTTGTAATTAAAATTAATCAGGCATATGAAGAGATAAGAAAACATGAAAGAAAGCCAAGAGAAGCAATATAAGATTTATAAGTCCTTCAAATAATAAGCTATTAGGCACAGACATTAAAATAAATATGATGAAATATTCAAAAAAAGATAAAAGATTGAGAATTTGGGCAGAGAACTTATAAATTATAAAACTCAAAAATTAAAAGAACTCTATGGATGGATTGTATTGCAGATTATAGACACCTGAAAAGAGAATTAATGAACTGGAAATTAGGTTAGAAGAAAATATCTATACCAGATTGTAGAGAGAGAGAAATAAATGAAAAATTCCGAAGACACAGAAGATAGATCAGGAAAGTATAACATACATGTAATCAATGTCTCAGATGGAAAGAACAAACTGTCATATAGTTGGTAAAAATTTTTCAAAACTGATGACCTTCCAAAAGAAACAATGGATGGTAGGGGATAATAGAATGATATTTTCAAAGTGCTGATTAAAAATATCTGCCAATCTAAACTGGTGCAGCCACTGTGAAAAACAAAAGGGAGGTTCCTCAAAGAGTTAAAAATAGAACTACCCTAATGACCCAGCAATTACACTACCAGGTATTTATCCAAAGGATATAAACATAGTGATCAGAAGGGGTACATGTACCCCAATGTTTATAGCCGCAGTATCCACAATAGCCAAAATATGGAAAGAGCCCAGATGCCACTGACAGATGAATGGATAAAGAAGATGTGGTATCTATATAAATGGAATATTACTCAGCCATCAAAAAGAATGAAACCTTGCCATCTGCAATAACTTAATGGAAATAGAGCATATTATGCTAAGCGAAGTAAGTCAGAGAAAGACAAATACCATATGAGTTCACTCGTGTGGAATTTAAGAAACAAAACATGAACATAGTGGGAAGGAAGAAAAAATTAGATAAAAACAGAGAGGAAGGTAAGCCATAAGAGACTCTTAACTATTGGAAACAAACTGAGGTTGCTGGAGAGGAGGTGGCTGGAGAGATAGAGTAATGGGCATTAAGGAGGGCATGTGATAGAATCAGCACTGGGTGTTACATGCAACTGATGAATCACTAAATTCTCCTTCTGAAACTAATAATATACTATATGTTAACTAAATTGAATTTAAATTTAAAAAATTTTTAAAAGAAAATATCTGCCAATATATAAGTCTAAACTAACAAAAATATATTTTTGGAATACAAAGGTTAAATAAAAACCTTTACTTAAGACAGAAGTGAGAGAATTAATAACCTCTGGTCCATTGCTATAAGAAATACTAAAGGGTGTTTGTCACACAAAAGAAATGGTTCCAGAAAGAAGACTGTAGATAATAGGAGAGATAAAAAGCAAACATTTTGAGTTATATCAGGAAAACAGAAGACTAGGAAGCTCCAAGATTTTGTTTCCCCACAAACGATAAAAACAAACAAACAAAAACTATCTGAATAAACTTCGTAGGAACCTTGAAAACAATGAAAGGTTTACAGCAACCAATCATACCTAATCAGGGAAAAAAATTTTTAAAACTATAGGAAAGCACTGTGGTGCTTTTGTTCATCCTTGTCCCACCATCTCCCTGATGTAGTAGTGACAGTCTTGGTTCGCCACACCAGCAACCCAGTTCTCCATGTTGAACCAAAGGGAGAACAGACCCTACTTGAAAATTATGATGTACTCAGTTCTGATGTGATTGACTCACTCATTTCTGCCTTATATACATGTTTGGGCTATAGGTGGGGAAACTGATGGGCCCTGCTAGTAAAAGCTATAAGGGGGCTATAAATCCACAGATCCCCACCCCCCCCAGGCAAGAGATTCTAGGTGGAGACATACAATATAGTATCAACAACTTGGGGAAGAAAATGTGGTAAAACTCTGGAAAATTAGGACATTCAAAAGCAATCCACAGAACACAGAGGAATTTAGAAGTCATACACATGCCCAGAAAAAAACCCATTCTCAGAAAAGTCTTGAGAGGACTTTAAGTTTTCACCGTAGGCTGATCCCTAGGCTCAGAGCAAGTACAGCTAATCTGTAAAGGACTGCTCAGCACAGACCCTGTCTTCAAAGACTGGAAAACAAGGTTATTTTCTCTGTCTGTGTCTCTCTCTCTCTCTCAGTGCATGTGTGTATTTCTGTGTCTGTTTATCTGTTGTTTATTGGTTCCTAGCTTTCAAGGAAATCTCCATCAAAACATTAGCTGAACATGAAAACAGACAAATGAGCTCACATGACAAGGAACAGTTCTTCCAAAAATAGTTTGTAAAAGCCTCAAAACAGGGCAGCCCAGGTGGCTCAGTGGTTGAGCATCTGCCTTCGGCCCAGGGCCTGGTCCTGGAGACCCAGGATCGAATCCCATGTCGGGCTCCCTGCATGGAGCCTGCTTCTCCCTCTGCCTGTGTCTCTGCCTCTCTCTCTGTTTGTCTCTCATGAATTTAAAAAAAAAAAAAAAACCTGAAAAAAAGCCTCAAAACAAACAAATCTTCAACAAGTCATAGCCTTCAACAATTAAAAAAAGAAAGTGAATCCTAGGTAAGGGTGAGAACCTCATTTATAGAATTACCACATTATAATAATCAAATGTCCAACTTCTAACAACAAATATTTACAAGGCATACAAAGAAACGAAAAATATAGCTCATTCAAAGGAATAAAGTAAATTGATAAACCATCCCCAAGGAAACCCAGATATCTGACTTACTAAAAAAATAAATTAATAAATAAAAATAAATGAAAAAGGCTTTAAAACAACTGTATTGGTGGCACCTATGTGGCTCAGTCAGGTAAGTAACCTACTCTTGGTTTCAGCTCAGGTCAAGATCTCAGGGTTGTGAGAATGATCCCTGAGTTGGGCTC